TCCTCACGCCCTCCTTGCCTCCTTGTCCAAGCCACCGGCCTAAGCCAGCCTTGCTTGCAAGACTGTGTAGAAAAAGGGACCGAAGTGAGTGTGAAAACAGGAGAGTGTTCCATTCTCCACTTTTGGGCAGCTTCACGCCTTGTCCTACTGCCCCTCAGAGCACCCCCAAGTTGTGGGCCCTTATCTCATGGGATGATAGCATTTGGTGATGTTTGCCAAAGGCCTCTTAGCCCAGGCCCAGGCAAGAGCCCTAGTGACTAGTGAGAAAGCCAGGAATGGTGGGACACAGGGCTGGAACCCCTAGGAAGACCTGAGTTCCAGCCCTGGCTCTGCCTCTAACCCTGCAGACTCATCTTGGGCAAGTGACATCCCTCTCAGGGACTCAGCATCCTCATCCTAAAACGAGGGCCTTGACTGTGATAATCGCTGTGGGTTCCTTCCAGCTTTAACATTCTTTGGCCAATACCCAGACAACTCCTGGAGAGATCCTAGGACCGAGCTAAACCGAGTAGCCAGGCAGGAAAAGCCACTTCCCCTCTCACTCCTCTGAATTTATATAGATATAAAAAATGATATCATAACAGAAATCATGGAAAGAAATGGAACTGAAAATAAAAGGGGAGGTTCTCTGGATACTGGGGGAGGGGAGTAGAAGCCTACAGGGGTAGGCTTGTTTATTGTTATTGTTTATTTGATAATTTATTTTTACAAATATGTAATCAATCTTAATTGTTTTTAATAACATGTCCAAATTACAATTTAAGGATAGTCTCTGGGAATTGCAATTTTTGGACCAACTGTAGTAAAAAGGCAAAACTAAAACTACACAAAAATCCTGCAAGTTGCCTGGCTGTCTCTTACTGCAACCATTCTCTAGCCCTCTTCCCCTCTGCTCCGAGGCCCTTGTTGGTACCTGGTTGTTTATGGTGTTCTTCCAGTTTCTGGATAACATAGGCCTGACATGTGGTGATCCCTTCTCCAAAGTTTTATTTTCCACACATTAAATATCTTAAAGTCTCATAGGCATTGCTCAGGTACAAAGTAAAACTTTAGACAAATATTACCTTCCCTTCCTGATAGCTCCTCCCCCATCCCTTAAGGAGATCAGGGCTTCTGCGGGGATTCCTGCTCCCATGCCCTCTGCTGTAACCCTCACAGTGACCTCTGGCTTCTAGGGTCAGCCTGGTCCTCCCGCAGCAGCTGCGGTCCCACCTGCCTGCTCAAATCCAGCCTAAGCCCCAGGACCAACTCGCAGCTGCTCTGACTTAAAACTCAAGCCCTCAGGGGTGCCTTAGAGTTGGGGGATGGAGATGGGAGGCGAAGAGTAGGAGGGAAGGGTAAGAAGGGGAAGAAAGACAAATGGAAAGAAAATGAGCTCTCACTACAGCCAACTGCCCTTGTTCTTCCAGTCTGAGCTGACACAGCAGAAAGAAGGGGGGAGGTGGCAAGAAAAGTCGAGTTAAAGCCCCATCTCTCTTCTTTCCAACTCAGGTTTTGGTTGGCTCGGGGCACAGCCACCCTCTCAAAGACTTGTTTCGAAGGGAGGGGGTGCGGGTGAGAAAGGAATCTGGCTCCTTCAGTTTTCCATGATCTTGCTTAACCCAGACATAAATTTGGCCAATAAACCTAACTCTGGAACTTGACTTCAACATGGCATTTGGACCAGGCTTGGAGTTGAAGCCAGGGTGACGGAGGCCAAACCCCTCAAAGAAGCAAAGGCTGAATTCATTTTTATTTAGGCATTTCTTTCCTTTCTTTTCCAAAGCATTATTTTCCGCCCCTCTTTGTCTCTTATTTCTCAATGACGGAACAGAAACCCAGACCCACTGCTCCCTACATCTCAAACTTAATATCTCACCAGCACAGGAGAGACACCCCAGAACCAGCAACCACGCTGGGCACCAGCCCCTCTGGCCACAAGGCCCCTTCCCCTAAACGTCGCCCAAAGCAAAGTTCCGTCTTTCCTTGGTCCTTCCTTGGCTCGCTCCAGCTCACGGATATTCACCCAGAGCTTAGCCCAATAAATAACTCCCATCTCTCGCCTCCCTCCAGCCTCACCCCCTCCTTTCTATATCTATCTCTGACCCTGAACTGGCCAAAATAAGATGCAGGGCCAGGCGCGCTCCCAACGCGGAGCCGGAGCCGACTCCCTCTCCAGTTGCTCAGCAACCGCCTAGCAAAACACGGGTCTCCACCCGCCCTCTCCTCTCCCTCCCAGAAGCTTTGGCTGCCTGCCACCTGACTCTCCTCTGCTCCCCGTTTCTGATTCTAGAAATGCACCTTTTGAGGGGTTATATATAAATACATATAATATAGCCTATGTTATGTATAAGTATATATAACACAGCCTGCATTATAGATAGCCTATGTTATACAGAAATATGTATAATGTAGCCTATATTGTAGAGACAATATATAAATATACAATATAGTATTTGGATATAATATATATGATATGATATAGTATGATATATGTGTCTGTATGTATGTGTATATATATTGCAAGCGTGGGAGGGAGGGCAAATCCATGTCCGCACTGCTCAGATTTTGGTGGTGGGGGAAGTGGGAGGTGGCAGGTGGGAAGTGAGTTGGGGAGCAGGAATTTTGGCTAAAGGACCAAAGCGACATTCTCTTCCCTCTGTCCATTTTGCTCTCCTTAAGAACTGTGCACAATCTCCAGTTTTTGGGGACCCACCCAACAGTTCTCTAGGTGAAGGGCCCTCTCCCAGGAGCACTCACTTCCACTCCATCTGTCCCGGAGGAAGGCGTGGGCCCCGGTGACCGTGGAGCGCAGCCAACCCGCAACTGCAATCCGCCAGGCACCTGCTTGAGCCTGGGTGGAGTCCGCGGAAAGTGCCCGGCCGGGGCGCGGGGCGGGGAGGAGAGTCTGCTTAGGGTAGTCCCAAAGGCACCCTGAAGGTGGGGGCTGAGGAAGAGGCCGCAGAGAATTCTAAAAGGGGCCTTGCCTGGGACAAAAGTGGTTTGTGTGTGCGTGTGTATGTGCGTGTATGTGTGTGTGCGCGCGCGCGCGCTCGTTGAGTTGAACTGGGAAGTTCGATACTCTGTGCTCGCCGAGCAATTGAGCGCGCGCATGCGCCCTGCGCGCGTACCCTGCAGGCCAGCCACATCACACCAGCCACACGGTGGGGCAAATAAAAAAAGTGGGACCAGAATGTGGCTGAATGATACCTTGCATTCTTTCGATGTTACCGGATTGTTAGCCAGGGCGCTCGCTTCCAAGCCAGGAAATCAATTTTCCTCGGCCTCCCTCCTCCCCGCACCCGCCGCCGCTCCGGTAAGTTTTTCCAAATCCACATTCCCCCAAGATGAAGGCGGGCAGGACCGCCTTTGAAAAGTGGACCTTAATAAAAATAACCCCGCGGACCGGCCCCTGGGGCTTCCGGGGCCTGCACGTCCTTCTTTCTCGCTTTTTGTGGGCTGCAACTCGGAAAACGACTACCTCTTGCAAAGCGGAAGGGGCTGGCGCCTGCGGCAGTGAAAACCTGCAGGGTTTGCGGAGATCCAGGCTGAATTCAGGAAAGCTCTGCTGCTTCTTGGCAAGCGCGGACACACTCCTCTACTACACCATACTGTCGGTAGTTCGCACTTAAGAAAACTTATGTTGGGGTGCTCGTCAGTAATGGAAGGGGACAGGAAGGGAGAGGGGCACTGTTCCAGTAAGAAACTACTGTAAATATTGTTTAGCCAAGTCTTAACACATTTTGGAGAGAATCAATAACCAGGTTGACGTCTTAGAACCCAGACTTTTGTGTAGTTTATTAAACTTTTTAAACATTTAAGATCATGTAACTTTCCAAAAAGAAACCTAGTCTAAGGGGACAGAACTATTCTGATTGAACAAGTAGCTCTGTCAGTCAGTTAAACCCTAGACTCCTGGTGCCGCGAATTTGGGGGCGGGGCAACCAGGGGGCGGGGCAAGCGGAGGCGAGGCTCCCGGGGCGTGGCTTTCCTGTCTCCGCCCTCTACATTTTGCATTCTGCGTTTCCCGGCCCCTCGTGCACTTACTCCACACCCACTTGTGATCTGGTTCAAGAGATGGGGTTGGAGGGAGATTGCGGAGGGGAGGATTGCGGGGGAGGGGGTGTAGGTAGGAATCAGCATAGGCGGGGAAGTTGCGATGTCTGAATCTCACACCCACTTTGGCCTCCTAGCCCTAGGGCCACCTTTCATCCTAGGTAAAATCTGAATTGGGGAGGGAAAAAAGGAATTATGTTCAGGGACGAACACACGGCACAGAACTCTAAACCCTTCCTTCCTCCCACCCCCGCGCTCCTAAAGTAGTCTTTTTCTTTCTTGGAGGAAATAAAAGGCATTTTGCAGTTAAATATGTTTTGCCATCTACCACAATTAATCATATTAAATCAAAAGCAATGGGTGTACACGTGGGAGGGACATCGAGGCCCCCACCCAAAAGGCATTAGGGTGTGTGTGTGTGTGTCTAGGGGTGGAGGGATAGAAACGTCTGGAGGCACGGGGGTGGGGGTGCGGGGCTGGGGGCTGGAAGGGACAAAGGTGAAATTAGCTCAGAAGATGGGTAAAGCCTCTCTCTCCAGGCCCCATTAAAACAATATTTTAACAAAAGAGATTTTTTATGTCTGCAAAAAACGTATGGGGAATGGGGGAGGGAGTTGATAATGTGACACACACGCTTTCAGACTGAAGATCGGGTACCAGGGGATTTGGACCTTGAGACCGAATAGGAGCTCAGAGTCAGTATTCGGATGGGGGGCAGGGGGGCGGGTAAGGTGGGGGTAGGGGGAAGGAGAAGGAGCGAAAACTGGGAGAGGCTCAGCTAGACAGCAGCCTAGGGTAACAGGATCGCCTAGGGCTCCAATTCTGAGGTGCAAGGACCCTCCCCGACTACTCGTGGGCTACACCCCAGCTCTAAGCCACTTGCTGCGCAAAGCGCGCGGGCCCAGCCCGTCCCGTGTCCCCCGCCCGTGCGCCGCGTTACTGACTGGCACACTGAGCGCGCTCACCGATCTTGGCTTGCTCGCGGTAGCTCTTTTCGTTGAGGCAAACCCCGCGGCCGTGCAGCAGGGCGTGCAGCGGCTTCTCCTCGTCCTGCCGGGGAAGGCAGCGCAGCCCCTGGGCGCAGCGCTCAGTGTAGACGCCGCACGACTGCCCCTCGGCCAGGGCGCAAGTCATGCAGCAGCCGCAGCCCGGCTCCTTGACCAGCTCGCAGCCCAGGGGGCTGGGGGGGCACATGGAGAGGGCTTTCTCGTCGCAGGGCTCGCAGTGCACGAAGGAGCCCAGGCCCTGGGCCGGCCCCGCGCAGGCGGCCAGCAGCAGGAGGACCGCGGTGAGCACCATCTTCTCCAAGTCTCCCCTTTACCTCCGGGCGGGGCAGGAGAGCGAGAGTGCAGGGATAAAGGGGCCAAGAGGGCGCCCGGAGAATTTTTTTTTTTTTTTAAAATCTCTGGCAGGTAGAGCAGGTGTCCTCCCCCAGACACTTGCAAAATACAGGGAGAGATGGAAGACTGCGATGCCTGCAAGCAAGTCCCAATTTAAAGGATTAAAACCTTGCAACAGGTTGGGGGAAAAAAGGGCAGCGCTAGGTGCACGCAGAGTGAGCGGAGGCCAGAGAAACCCCCAAGCCGGATCTGGTCAGAATTGCAGGGGGAAAACAGCCACAGAATTGTTCACCCCAAAACCACCGAAATAATGAGCTCAGAGGCTGTGGAGATGGGGGTGGAGGGAGAAAAATGGATTTGTCTTCAAAAATTTTGCTTAAAATCTAAAACACACCCCGCTCCTTTCTAACCCTCGGCTGCCAGCAGCGCGCGGCTGCCGCGGAACAGGTAAGCGGCTTTGGCTGCAGCCGAGATGGTGGGAGAAAATGTTGAAATCAAGAAATCAAAAAAAAAAAAAAAACCCACCCAAATCCTAACACCTCTTTTCTCCCACTCTGCCACCACTTCTTTGAAATTCGCAGGTTCTGTGTGAAGTCCGGAGAAGGGTGCAAACGGAGGAAGGGGTAATTAAAAGGAGTAGAAAAAAGAAAAAGCCCACACCGCTTTGCAGCTCTTTCGGAGAGCTCTTTTCCCCGGCAGAAGTTTCCAAAGAGACTACGGGCTCCGGGCGAGCAGGCGCTTTTAAATAGACGGCCGCTGGCTGCCAGCCAGTTTGTAGCTGCAATTTGAGCTCCCCAACACCCAACCCAGGCAAGGATGCCAAGGAGCTTTGCTGAACAAACTCACACGGGGTGGGGGTGGGGAGAGGCCTTCTAGACACAAGGGGGCTCCCCTTCGCTCCCAGCGCTGCGCCCTCCTCCCCCCGGAATGTAGGAAAGGCAAGGGGGACAGGCTGGAGCTACCGAGGGGGGAGGAGGTAGAAGGGCGAGTGGAAGAGAGAGTTCTTCCGAGCAGGGTGGACACAATGGGGAGAGGAACTCGGTCTCCCCCTCCCTCCTATCCCTTAACTAATCAAGGCACCGGGTGAAGGGAGAAGCTTTTCTTATTAGCCAACTGGATATATACCATGCCTAAGAATCTTCCCAAGCTTTGGAAATCGACTGTCTGCTAGTGTCTAAGTTACCATGTAAGGTTTGTGTGTGTGTGTGTGTGTGTGTGTGTGTGTGTGTGTGTGTGTGTTTGGGGGACTGGTAGTGGAGAATGGCCAGTGATGGCTGGTGATCTGAATTTTAAAAAAAGAAAGGAAAAGAAGAAAAATGAATTCCCCCACCCACCACCAAAGTCTGGAGAAGAGGATTTAATCAAAGGTGTTTCTGTTGCTCATGGGGTGACTGTTTTTGGTCATGTGGTCAAGAGGTGGCCACTTTCCTTCAGCTACATTGTTAGCCAGGGAAGGTGTGTGTGTGTGTGTGTGTGTGTGTGTGTGTGTGTGTGTGTATGTGTTGTGTGTACTTGCAGGAAGAAGCATTCATACAGCAGCCTTGTTGGGAGCAGTGAGTTGCAGAAATTGACACTTTGGAAGAAATGCTGTTAACTCTGAAAACCTTGCCTGGTGACCTGAAGTGTCCTTGTGTCCGGGGTTTGTAGAGCAAAGAGAAGTGGCTTGGAGTGACACATACCCTGCATGTTGTTTTACAGGGCCGTTTCTATCCGGCAAGGCCAGATCCCTGGAGGGATGGGTAACAGACTAGAGGGAGACCGTGTTATAAGGTTAATGGGTGCTCATGGGCACATCTGGGGAATATGAGCTGTCAGGGTCACAGGACCTGCTCAGAAGAGATCCTGACCAGGAACATTCTCATGCCACCTGAAACCTCAGACAGTCTATGGGGACACTATGGACCCCTTCTTTCTTTAATAAAATGAAAGAAAACAAAAGCATTGAAAGATGGAAAGTGGTGATTTTAGCTTTTTCTGAAATTGACATCAGTGGGCCATGGCCCTCACAGGCAGGTCAGAGAGAAATGACTAATGTCACTGCCCTGTTGGGAGGACTTGGAGTGAGGCTGTCATGCCTTTTACATTGCCTCTCCTCCCTGGAGAAGTGCTCTAATTTTCCTTTGGAGAAGGGGCTGCATTTCATGAAGTTTGCCACTAGACTGCACCCTTATCTATGATAAGAATTCTTTCTGGAGGATTGCTTTTAAGAAAATATTTTCTCTTGCTCAGTTCAGTTCGGGAGCATCTCACGTTATGCTGTTAACACTCTCAGATCCTGATCTCTCTTTCACGTATCTATTTGCCGAAAGGCACGTTTTTAAAACAAGGCTAAAGTTTAAAGTTGTGCCTTTGCTTGTATTGCCGGAGGGGTTTTAGGCGTTGGTTGGGAGAGGGAGGAGAACTTTGTGCAATGATTTCAAAAAAAATAGCAGTAAGGCTCGTTCCAATGGATTCTCCCCTTTGTCTGGGGGCTTGGTAAGGTAGGAGCAAGTTAATAGTCAAAGCTTTTAAAAATATTTTAGAAGCAAGGGGGATTGTGTGTTATTTTCTTATTTGTGACAGGTTCAGACTACAAGAGTGGCGGCTGAGTGTGTCGTGTGTATTCTGGTCCCTGCTCTGATTTCTTTGTGCACGCTTTTAGCAGCGCAGTCCACTCCAGGTACACTGGTCGGATTTGCGACGAATGGGGAAATTGTGTGCTCCTTCCAAAGAAACATGCGTTGCCTAGTGCCTGCCATCCTGTATTCCGAGGGAGGTGGCCTCCAGTGACACCTCTTTTTGTCTAGCCGATTTCCACTGGCTTGGCAATACAATGTGTGAGGACAGGTAAAAGGAGGAGGGGATGATTCATAGAGAAGAAGGAAAGAGAGGAGGGAGGAGGAGAATGTGGTGGGAGTCGCCTCTGGGGCAGGGCGGTAGAGGGGGGCCGTGGAGAGAGGTTACTCTGCAAGACTGAAAATGTTAAGCAACCTTTCTTAATCTCCACTTAGAAATGGCTATGTCTTGAGGGATTCAGGGACTGGATTCAGGGATTCAGGACTGTCCAAGGGACCTGGGATAGGCTTCCCCGGAGAGCATATGACAAAGAATTTGCAGTGGCCTGGGATTGTCTAGAGGGATTTCATCCAAAGATGGGGGACTGGCCGGATCGGTTTTGCTTCTATGAGTCCATAATTACTAGATGACAGTGGAGAGGGAAGGTGGTGGTTCTGTTACTACAGAACGTGGGATGATGGGGCATACCTGTGAGTCTTTCTTGACTCCATTTTCCTCTCCCTTCCACTCTGAAGGCCTAGATCTGTTTGAGATCACTTTTAGAAGACTGCTTCTGAAAAGAAAAGTAGTTTGCCTCAACCAGGGTAGTTGGGATGGGCTGATTTATTCCTGTCACATACAAATATCAGAGGCCGGGACCTTCCTTGCTGCCCACTTGCTTTCACTGCCATGAGCTTCCCAACTCTGGCCTAGACTAGCTTTGATACCTTTCAGCCACATCTTTCTTGGAGAAGTAAGACGTTAAGTATATCCAATTGTGTCCCATTTTCCCAGAGATCACCCCTTTCCTTTCCTTTAAGACATTCACTGCCTATCAGTATTAAGTTTCAAGAAGTGCAACGGAGTGACTGATTTGCTCTCTTTTATTTGGACAACTTTTCAGAAGGTGGAGAGCAGTTTTATTTTATAAAGCTTCAGCGTCCTTACCTGTGGCCACTTTCTGTGAGTTTCTAGGTGATTTTCAAGGTAAGGATGATGCCCGATAACATGGTTTGAGAAAGCTAGACTTTTTAATAGGACACAAAGTATTATGGATTCTTCTGGTTGGGAAGGAAAAATGTCAGCTGAGGGTCTTGTCTTCATTCTCATCTATGCGTTGCTCTCACCACTCTCTCAGGCAGGCTTATCATTTATTCCATTTTAAAGACCTCATGGCATTGACTTCAATCCCTTTCCCAGAGGCAAGCACACTAATGCAGCAGCCTTATCGGGATTCTAAACTAAGGCACAGCGACCTTCAAGGAAGAAGGACCAGTTGCTCAGGTCCTTCCCTAGATCTGGGAAGTTCAGCAGGAGGGAGGTCTGTGCAGAGGACAGGCTTCAGGCAGCTTAGCTGCAGTGACGTCGCTGAAGGCTAGGTGGCAGAATAGATACATCGTTAAAAACACGCCTCCTTCCACCAAGGGACAAAGCAGACGCTGGTAGAAGTCTTTAACAATGGGGATGGGATCTGGGGAAAGCACAAGTGTGGATGGAGGGACGTTTATCAACATACTGTGGGTCCACTTACACGCTGCCCCAGCCTCAGCACTGCCACTATTCCTGTGACAACACCAATCTAGCCTCAGGTGCAAAATCCTCCAAGTCCCGCCAACAGCCGTGTTCACGATTACTTTATCTGGGAGACAAGGTACAGCAGGTCAGAACTTGATGACTTTGGGTTCATCAAAGGATGTCCTTAACCTTCTCAGACCAATAATCACAGTGTGGTCTTTAGCCAAAGTGCATAAAAATTTCCCCTTTAAAAATTCTAAAATGTGAATTATGGCATATTTCAAACATTCAAAGAACAGAAGATAATATAACAGGTATCCTCTACTCCCCACACTCACTTAACACATGTTAACATTTTGCCATCATTGTTGAAGATTTTCGTAAGAGAGAAATGCGGTGTGACAGGTAGCAGCTCACCTCCTGCTACGCCCCACCCCATGCCCTGCGCTTGCCAGAGGTAGTCGCTCTCCCCAAATACTACTGTATGCTTTCTGCACAATGTTTTTCTAAGTTTTATATGAAATTTCTTATAGAATAGAGTTAGAATGATTTTGAAGGAGAAACCGAGTGCTACTTTAGAGTTAATTTTGTTGTGGTGCTTACAGCAGTGGCAATTTAACTAGAGTCTATTGACCCTAAGGCTGGCTGTTAGAGGAGCTGGAGCCAGCCATGACTCAGAGTGATTTATATCCCTGTGTGAGCAGTATATAAGTTAATAGTTTTACGAATTGATGTTTAGGAGGATTCCAGACAGATAGGGCAGAATGGGGTGGGCTCCATAAATACTGTTTCTGGTTGGAGCCCTCCTATCTTCTTGGATCTGGCCTGCTCCTACAGTGGACAGCATGGAAGCTGTGTTTCGATTTTGGAAAATGAGATTAACCAGAAAAAGTGATCTGTCGTGACTTAGAAGACAGTGTTGGTAGGTCCAGGTCTAGGAGGGAGAGATGGGGTAGCCATTATAGGAAAGATGGAATCACATGAAATAAGAGGAGAGAGACAGGATGTTAACTGCTTGGAGCAGATTTAATATGATGCATTTAAACAGTGAAAAGGCCAAATAAAATCACAGTGCATGATTGGAATCTAGGTTTCACACAGTTCAGGAGGGAGAAGTGGTAAGAACTAACTTACCACTGCGGCTAGTGCATAGGGCAAATTTGTGTGAATCAGGAAAAGATGCCCCTCCTCAAAATACTTTACTTCTGTTTATCAAAAAATTGTTATAACATAGATTCTATTAAGAGAAGAAATTTTAATGCTTCTTCCAGGAAATTGTCATAATGACTGTATGTGTCAGTGTGATGTCTACTATGTGAGTAGCGCCACTTAAATGGGACTCTGGGTGTGCAGTACTCAATCTACACGGCTGTATGAGGTAGCCCTGGTTGGAAGAGTTGAGCCTGGTTTCTGAACCATAAGGAAACACTGCTTTTCTACTGGGGTGGAAAGGATCGGTCCAGTGACATGATTTGATCCGTTATTG